AATATGGAAAGTCTATTCTCAAGCCTGAGACAGTGGCCACAGAATATTAAAATGAAAGCTTATGTGGCTGGAATGATGACTCTATAGCTTGTCAACCCAGATTTAGTAGAAAGTGAAGAAAATCCAGCAGAATCATTTCAACATCTGTAGGCCTTTTTTCTTTTCTTACCCTACTGCACTAGCTAGGACTTCAAGTACCATGCTGAATAAGAGTGGTAAGAGTGGACATCTTTGCCTGGTTCCCATTCTTAGGGAGAAAGCATCTAGCCTTTCACCATGAAGTATGATGTTCAGGGTAAACTTGTGGTTTTCACTCCTGGCCAAGTATCAAAGAACAAGCTTTCTGAACTGAAAATTTAATGGAGTATAGATAACAGAGCTGGGAGAAACCGTGTCATTTTTGCCTACCTCATGTCTACTGCCCTTCCTCACATAAGAATACTTTGATTTCTCCTCAGGGGAAGCCAACCTTCCTCCACCGTTTATACAGCTCTAGTGCAGTGGGCGGGTGAGTCACATCTGGTCAATTCACCTATCCCATCCTCTAGTCGAAGTATTTAGTCCACTAAAATTCAAATATGGGACTTCTTTGGAATTATTAGGCAAAGCTCTCTTTCTACTATACTTAGAGACCAGGGATATCAGGCCATGACTGAAATTTGGCCTTCTACCGGTTTTTATAAATAAAGTTTTATTGAAATGCAGCCACACTCATTCATTTACATATTGTCTACGGTTGCTTTTGAGCTACAAGAGCAAAGCTGAATAGCTGCCATAGTGTCTATGCAGCCCCCAAAGCTTAAACTACTTACTCTCTGGCCCATTACAGAAAAAATTTCCTGGCTCCTGTTCTTGATAATAAGATGTAAGCCTGGAACAGTTAGGAAGCATATCACCACTACATAGAAAGAACCTCTTGGAAATGAAGCCAATACAAAAGAAGAAACCGACTCCAAATATTATGGAAGCCCCTGGATTCAGATGGGCCAGAACTACTATACCCCAATATTTTTCAGTTATGTAAGCCAATGATTCCAGCTTTTTCTCAGACAAATTTGAATTGGGTTTCCTTCATTTGAATTCGAATTCATCACATGGATCAAAACCATAATGCTCATTATAGAAACACAACTCTAATTTCTTCCTCCATTACATATCCATCAATAATATAAAGACATTTGACTTTTCTTTAGACTAGAATGTCACTGGGTGCTAAAAACTGTAATTTATTTAACAATTAACTAAAACATTGTAAAATCAACTGATTCGGGGTCATTTACGGTTTTTTTTCCAACCAACCATCCTGAGGTGTTATTGAACAACGCAAGAACAAAAAGGGTGGAAACCAAGATTACCAACGGCTCCAAAAAAATAAATAAATAAAATATCCAACACTGAATAATCAATCACAGAACAACCGAGCTGTAAGTATAAAAACAAAAGATAGGTGCTGCCATTAACACCTCCCTGAAGTAAGGGAAATACTCTAAGATCAGCTAGAGAAAGAGGTTTCTGCTCCCTCACCAAAGCCAAAACTCCCAAGGGGACAGCTTTAACTAATTAGGGAGATGGTGATTAAAGCCGGAGCTGCTAATTGTCTACTGGGTATATGTCTCCGGTAATGCTCCCTAGAGGCTCTCAGCAATGGGAGACAAAATTAGGCCTAATGTTCCTGCCAATTATACTGTCATCACATTTCTGTATTTCTCTCTCTCTTTAGGAAACTTAAAAGCACACGGAGGTGTGGTTTTCAATGCAAACTCTATGCTGCTGAGAGGAAATAAATTTATATTATGTTTAGAAAACAATTATTTGTGCTTAAACTTGTTTTAATGTGCACATTCTGGAGCAAGGAGATGTCTATCTCAACAGCACACTTTCCATCTGCAGAGGCCAGATGTTAATCTACAGGAAAACTAAGGTGGTTAAGTAAGAAAACCAAGCATAGGCAGACAGAGAGCAAATATCAAGTGGTGGGAGAGGGCGGTGGGGAGGCTTAAAATGCAGTGAGTGGAGCAGTTTTAGAACTCCAGCTAACCGAGGGAACACACACACACACACACACACACACACACACGAACACACACACACACACACACACACATGAGAGAGCACACACACACACACACACACACACACACACACACACACACACACACACACACACACACACACACACACACACACACACACACAAGTGGGTTTTTCACTCATACGAAGAATAGTATCTGCCCTGACAGGATTTTTCTTCCTGGGTATTTCCTCCCCTACGAGTTGAAGAAACATTCAAGAGAGTCAGAGAAAGTACTGTTAAGAATGTACTGAGCGAGGACTCTTAGAAGGCAATTTGGCATTTTACCTCTATTAAAGATGAAAACCAAAGACATTTAGGGCTAGATATGGGTTCTAATTCTAGCTTTGCCACTGTGGTGGAAACTGTGAGGCACCCCACAGTTTCTGTTCTTCCTCCTTGAAGTGATAAGATCCCCTGGGCACCGGCTGGGCCCATGGCTGCCTATGTTCAACCTACTTTTCCCATCCTTCTTGGTAGATATATGTGGCCATGTAATTATTTGGGGGCCAACAGAAGTGAGGTGTGCATCTTCTGGCTCCCAGATGCTCTCATCTCCATTATCTGCCTGGAAAATGGAAATGTATGGAACATGGAAAGCCATGAGTTGAGGATGGCACTGATACCAACCAGGGTTCTTGGCCTTCCCCAGTCAACAGAAATTGACTAGAGGCCAGACAAGAAATTCAGGCAAGGCTTTATTGGGTCCACTGCTGCAGCAGGTGAGGGGGAGTGAGAACAAGTAACAGGTCCCTGAGGGGGGTCGAGATTGCTCCTTATATGGGGTGAGGGTAGGGGTGTGTCCAGGGGTCAGGCTGGAGGGGTAGCTCAGGTGGTTTGTCCACCCCTTAGGTGGTGTTGTGTGCAGGCAGCATGCGCAGTACCGGGCTTTTGCTCCTGACCCCCTGCTTTTGCTCTGGGTTCTTCAAAAGTGGCCATGAGGTTTTTGGCCTCTTTTTATCTTTTGTCCAGAATTTGCCCCAACTGCGCATGCACCCAGTTATTTTCAGTCCCTTATAGCTTCTTTGTATTTTGTTGCTCGAGAAGAGGTGTGTCCAGGTGCAAGCACTGCAGCAAAGGGCCCCAGGTTCCAGCCTGTCTCAGCACAATGACCCTGTTAGGCACAGACTGCTCACTTCTGAACTCTGAGACAGAAATAAATCTCTATCTTATTTAAGCCACTGCACTTTGAAGTCTCTCTGTTACAGCGACCTAGCCTGTACCCTAGTAATATAGCCACTTACAATCTGTATAACTTGGGGCAAGTTATTTAACCTCCTTAAAGTTTCGGTTTCCTCATCCGTGAAATGGAATCATAACATTTACTTTGTAAGGCACTAAGAGGAATAAATGGGTTAAGAGATGTCATGTGCTAAATCTGTGCCTTACACACAACTAACAGTAGGTGACAATAGCAAAGATATGAAGGACTACTTAGGAAACTGCTTCCAAAGGCCTATGACATCAAGCAGCCATTGTGCCCACAAAGCCCCGAAGGTAGAAATGTGTATCTGCTTTTGAGAGAGCTATCAAAAGTTATCAGTAACAAAGTATTCAGGGAAAATCAGGGGTATCCTGTATTTTAGCCCAGCAGAAGAATTAAGATTAAATAATGTTTAATTAACTAGAGTTTAGCAAACTGCACCTAAATCTTTAAATAGTTCTTTAAATCTTGCTCTGTGTTATTAAATGTTATACAAACACTAGTTATTTGCTTATGCTTAGTTGCCTGTATTGAGTTCCATGTTTGGATACAAAATACCTCAGTAGAAAATGACATGAATCGATACAGACCACCTAACCAGGGTAGGCTAAGAAAGAGACACACAAATGAACTGGAATCATCTATACTGGACACCCCACTTGATGCACAGAGTTCTACAGTCAATGGAGGCTATGCATGCCTCATGTCCCTTGCACATATTTCCCCCTTTTGACAGTGCCTTCATAAGTGATCATTATTGGTCCAATTACTGGCCGTCTGACAATGTGGATTCTCTTTATCTTTTACTGGTAGGACATGGTTAGACCGTACTCTTACGACTTCTGTAACCTTGAGATTTGCTGAATACTCGGGTTGAGATCCTTGGCCGCAAATTAAGATGACTACTGTGACTCTAGGGACTTCCCCCAAGGTTTTTCCGTGGGTTTCTCATGTCACAAGATGCAGAAAACCCACAAGATTACATCACCCAGCAAAGACCAGCATCTCTGAAATGGGAGCATGGATCACATTACCAGGCTTAACTCCTTTCGTGGGCCCGGGTAATCCCCCTACTTATAATGGGATGTGAGCCAACTACGGCAATGGGAGGCTGAACCAGAGGGCAATGAGTAAAGGTTCTGCACCATCTGTATACACTTTTATCATCATCTAACCTGTTAAAATGGATCTGAGGTAACACTTTGCGCTGCACTTTGTGGAGGCATCGATAGGTATTCAGTAAGTCAGACTGGACTGTGCTTCCTCTAAGAGTCCTCGGGGCGCTACAATTGCCTCGGTGAAGCGGGGG